ACCAAAGTTTTGTGCACGGGGCACGAGTGGTCTGCTCACTGCCAGCTTGAGCACCTCTGCCCTCACCTTGGGGCCCCTAGAGCCCAGCAGGCAGGACAGCTCAGTGCTTCTGCTGCAAGCCCCACACTGCCATAGCAAGGTGCCCCCTGACCACAACAAACTTACCAGCTGGACTCGGCTCTTTTAAGCTGCCAGGCTGCATATCAGAAATCGGATCAGTATCAGCCTATATGCATCCTTTAAAAATCAGCTATCGGCCCCCAAAATCTCTATCAGTGCACCCCTATATATTACCATTACTTATCATCCCAAAGTACTTTAAGTGGCTATCCCTTGTAAGTGGTTTCCTTGCTTGGCTTTGTGTTAGTCAGATTTTTGTAGATGTAGTTGTTAGGCCTATGGTAAATATGCCTTAGCACTGCAGAGTTGGCAGCTTCTGTCTGTTGTTGGTGTCTGATCCTGGAAGACTTGCACTAGTGCTTGCTAAATCATATTTAGGAATCAGCTTTTGCTCAGCTAGACTTTTTCCTCTGACTTTCAATGTTGAGAAGACATATTGAAAAATGTGACCAGCAGATTTGAAATGGCAGATTTATTGATTTCTACCTAGGTTTGCAGAGAGCCTAAACAATAGCTTTAAGGGCTGTATGCTGAAGCCTAAAAAATGTTAGTATTGGTTAACGTCAGCACAACTAGGAGGCTGTTTTTACAAATCCTAAACTACTTCTTGTGCATTTGCTGCTCCTCCATTGCACACCTACAATTTAGCTCCTAATGACTTCAGAGTGCTTAGCAATGTAAACATCATTGCTGTTGAATGTGAGGAATACATGACATGCCAATTTTTTAATATTAAATGCAGTATGATCTTCATCTTCAGGTGAAGCTGCTACAGGATTTCCAAATAGTCATATCTGGAAGAGCTCTGTTTGTTTTTTCTCATGGATTTGATGGGGTTTGGGGCTATATGGACCATAGATGAATAATTTGGTTCTTGCAATTTGACTTTTTATACTCCCAATCTAGTAGTGATACTTTCAGCATACACATACTAAGCAATTGGGGTTGCAACCGTAAGACATTATACGTGTGTATATTTTATCCTGCCCTACCCAGAAAGGCTGAGAGCAATGGCATTTTTTTAAATTAAGCTGTGTTCCTCTTCCCTATTTGTATCTGATAGAATATTTAGATTTCATGTTTTCTAACTTTTATATGAAAAGGAGATAATTATTAAAAAGAGCAAGTAGAGAAAAAATTGATCACTCACTTGGCTCTGTTAGAGTTTATGTCCTCATATGCTCTTTTTGACAGGATCCCCTCCCTCAGCTCCTGTATTTAGGTTGGAAACAAACTAATCTAACTGCCTCTTATGGTTTTTGATCTCTCAAATGGCCCCAAACCATAATTTGGGTTTGTGTAAATACAATATTTCCATAAAGCCAACTTGGCTATCTTGTGCATGTTTTTAGAGCAATTTAGCTCTTAAAATATCTAAAAAATGTGTAGCGATGTTTCAGCTGGAGACTGGTTTCGAATTGTGAATAAAAATTCAACTTCAAATGAACTAGCAATTTAATGAAGAAAAGTCAGATGCCTTGCTTATTGAGCTTTTAGCTAATAATCTCTGCAAATTTAAATGAATTAAACTTGTATCCAAGGTGAGAGTGTAAAGTAATGGAATTAATCAGTAAAACCAGTAAAACAGAGCACAGGCCTCTTCTGATTTTCAGATTAAAAGAGGAACCTTGTCCTCCTATAACAGAATAGAGCTACCCTCTTCCAGCTATCTTAAAATGCCAACAAACTCCTTTTGTATAACACTGAGACCGGGGTCTCCAGAGTTACCTGAGAGCCACAGCCCCAGCGCCTAAGCAGGCAGCCCCAGGAAAAGTGGGTGGGGCTTCAGCCAACTTTTAGCGAGCTGCACATACGGTGCCAGCGAGCTGTGGTTTGGCCACCTCTGCTCTAAGATCTAGCTGCACAGAATCGGTGATACTTGGCAGCCAGCCATGAGGCATGACACTGCCACTTAAGTATAAATCTCTGGGTTAGAAGGTGCTTTTACCATGCTCAGCACAGAATTCAACTTTTTCATGTTTTAATTTAGTGTCTGCAATGTAAGTATCTGATGGTAAAATCTCATTCATAAAGGAGATGCGTCATATCGTGGACTTGTTAACTTTTGGACATGTTGAAAGAAGGCTGATATAATCTAGAGCAGAGCAAGGCTATTGCAATTATTCAGTTATTCCCTGTCAAGGGAATATTTGGATAAAGAACAACTTGGTTGAGTCTGAGTCAGATGATAGGTTTTTTATTTTTAGATCTGGGGAGTAAGTACTTAAGAAAGAAAAATCTATAAAATATGTTGCTGATCTGGGTGGATTTTTTCCTGTCCTGCATTGCCAAAGTCTGACAATGTTAAACAACATTGTCCTTTTTGCAGCTCTGGCTTCCATGTGTGGCTGCTGCTACCTTTCTCTTAGACCAGAATGGCCAACCTGCAGCTCAAGTGGTACAGGCAGCCTCTTTGTGTGATGCACAGCAGTACAGCAGTAGATAGGGCAGAAAGCAGAATAGGAGATCAGAAGGGAGCACATGGCAAGAAGCAGAGGAGGAAATTGGGCAAAAAGGGTGATCAGAGTCGCATTTAGGAAGAGGGTGGGACTAATTTTGGCACATCTGCCAAAAAGATTGGCTCCTGTTGTCTTAGACAATGGTTATATATCTGCTACTTCTGGACAGCAGTTGAAGACTGCTGAGATAATAAGCTTGTAGTTGTTATCTATTAGGGCTGTATGAAGCTTCAGTTGCCATTTCGATTTGGAGGAGATTTGGCCCGATTCAGCAGCCAAATCTCTGAATCTGAATTGAATTGGGAGACCCATTAAAAGA